CCCGCCCGCCCCGCGCCGCCCGCGGCGGGGGCGGCGCCGCCGCCGGCAGCCCGCGGTCCTCGGGCTTCTGGGACCGCCAGCTTCAAAGCTCGCTATCCTCGGCAGGCGGGAAGGCGGGGTCCGGTCCGAGGTTGCGGCGCAGCTTCACAGAGTGGAGCTCGGGGTCGCTGTCGGGCGGCGGGTCCACGTCGTTCGGGCGGCCGCCCGGGCCGGCGCAGGCGCAGGTGCCCAAGGAAGAGGGCGCGGCCCCGCCCCTGGAGGGCGCGCAGAGGGGGGGGCGGGGCAGCGAGATGCCAGGGCCAGAGGACAGGGTGTGATGCTCCCGGGATTCAAGCGCCACGGGTGACGCGGGACTGCGCAGGACGCAGGGGCTGGGCTTGCTCGGGGCGGCGTGGCCGCCGGCGTCAGGGGCGGGGTGGGGTCGGCGCTGCCCTTTTGCCCGTGCGAAAGGGCGCGCAGGCGCTCGCGCAGGCCTGGTCGCAAGCACACAAGCCTCCTGCTGGGCGGCGCTGGCGGCGCCGCGACTCGGCGGGTCAGTTGGGCCTATTTTAGGGACTTCCTTAGATCAAATCACGGTCTGCTCTCTTGTGTGCTGGCCTGCATTCGTCAGCCGCGCGGTGATGTCAGCACCGCCCGAGCGCAACGCGGTGGCACCGCAGCCCGCATCAGCAGCAGCAGCATGGCGACCGGAACATGTTGCCACCCGCCACCGCCGCGCATCGCGGCTGCAGCTGCTGCGCCGGTCGCCACCGCCCCTTCGCTTTGCGCGTGCTCAAGCGCAGCTGGAGGCCGCAGCAGCGCCCGCCTGCATACATGCCGTGCCGCGCACGTAGGCTTCTTATCCGTGGCCCCCATATCGCGTTTGGGAATCTTCCCCTCACGACCACAAACCGATGATGTGTCGCCCCCACCTGATCAAATTGGTTTTGTTGATGCACATGGGTGCCTGGCTCTATCTGCATCACGAATTGCAAAGTGGGTTCCTGCGCCGCTGGCGCCGTCCGTACTGCCGTACACCCCTGGCCTGCCCGCGGCTGCCAGGTTCCAGGTGGCGTGGACGAAAGACCCGCAGCGGCGCGCGTTCTCGCGTGCACCTGATCTCTTGAATCCATAATCTTGATTGGCGGAAGGCCCACAAACATTTTTTTTTGCGCAAAAACAGGGATGGCACAAGTACACACACAGCGCAACTCCTGCCCTCTCAAACCTGCAACCGGGCCACTTGTTGCGGCCTGCACTGCGCATCCCAGTGGCAGCAGCGCCGATGCTCGCAACCATCGTGCTCATTGCTGCTGAGTCCTGACAGTGCATGGCACTTGTAACCTTGAATTTCATTTTCATTGGCCATCGGCGCAGTTCCCCAGCCAGCAAGGGTTATGGCTCTGCGCGGGCAACGGTGAGGGGGAGGGCCACCCGCCAGGTTTGCTCAACGCCTTGGATCTTGTTGAGTGCATGCGTGGCTGCTGATGGCCCCAATTCACTAGCCCCCCAATAAGTGAGGCTTGGCGATTTTGCATGTTGGAGGCTACTGAGGCCGCCCTACAACGTCGCACGAAGCGATGACAAGCGCACACTACAGTACACTTGGGCCCAAACCACACGTGCTTCCCGGGCACGCTGAACAGGGGCATCCTGTAACTTGAGATGGTGGCCACCAACTTGGATAGGTGCACCGGCGCGTGCATTGTCGACAGCTGGGTGTCGGCAGGTGCAATGAAGCCGTTAGCTCTGCTGGTTGCATTAGTACAAGGTGCCGATGAGTCCGAGGCACCACTGTGCGCTGCAAGGCTGGCGTCGTTGATAAGCAAACGTACTCACTTAAAGTACTTCCATCCTTTTACCCCGGTCCCGTGCCTGCCCACCCGCGGCTCACATCGAGGCCACAAATTCGAACCACCGTCCATCTTCCGCCTTGCACGCTTGCTTGCAATCAATTGATTACAAGAGGTATCACTCTGCCAGCATCAGAGGAGCGTAGTAAAGCGGGAGCGGAGATCAGTGCCTTTGGTGAGCACCTGAAGCACGCATGATTCCAGACAGGCTGCCTGTCACGATTTGCAAAAATTACAACCTCTCTAGCTGCAAGCGCCTTGAGGGTTTGGTGCAAAAAAACAGCTTGCGCGCGTCTCGAAACGAGACGCTTCGCAAGGGCGGCGACTGCAGACAGCTGGCGCACGCGTTCGACCTGCGCGCGGCGCAGCACATGCAGCTGGGCATGCAGGGTCTCAGAGGCTATGACTGCCTCATGGGCTATGCGCTATGCGTTGTGAAGCGTATGGCTGCCCGCGCGGTCCTGCAGCAACCGCTGCCACTTCGCCCGCCTCCCCTGAATCGACCCCGGCCGCCGCACCACTCCGTCCGCATGCTTGTAGCCCGCCCCGGCGACAAACAGCCCCCGGCAGCCCTTGTAGCGGGGCACGTGCGGGCAGCAGCAGCAGGAGCAGGAGCAGCAGCAGCAGCAGCATCTGGCAGCCATGGTGGTGGCGGCCCCCAAGCAGGCCCCCAGGGTGTACAGCCAGTCGGAGGTCCAGTCGATGGCCTCAGAGGGGCGGTACGTTTACACCTGCAATGGCCGCGTGTACGACGTCAAGGTCGAGGAAATCATGCACCCCGGCGGCCGCGACGTGAGCGCGCGGTCGCTACGCATGTGGTGTGGCAGGGGCCTGACG